TGTGAACACGTTTGACTTCACCCAGAAATAGATGGTTTGGATAATCTGGCTAAACCGGCGGTTCCAACCTGTCTCATCATCTGATCGATACTCCTCAGATCTCAACAATTAATGCAACTGTAAAAATGTAAGAGAAGGGTGAAATGTTACCATAGGAATAAGATTATTTAACAAAAAGACACAGACACAAACAATAGGGAAACAGAGAGATTTATAGAAATCATGACAACTCCAAAAGTGCAGTAGATCACAAGCGCATTACTTAGACTTTTAGATGTTATGTTAAAGCTGCACTAATTAATATTTTTATAATAACAATGTATCAGATAACTATGTGTAATTTTAAAAGGTGTCATTCATAGCAGGCCCGCCCCCTTATAGTTGACTAAACCATTACTAAGACAGGTTTACTTAATCCTTTTTTATATGTCAGAAAGTCACAGAAAACAACAATGTCAAACTCCGTTCGGGAGCTAGAGTATGGGGATTGTTGCAACACGGACATTTGCTTTTGTAACACAGTATCTATCTGAACTGGGAGCAGGGGGAGGTTTGTTTACACTACTAGTATAGGCACTAGCATTGGAGAATCAGGACCATAACTGGAGCTGAGCACGTGGGCAACGGAATCGGGTTGACAGCCTCCGAAACCAAATGATTTACAGCGGCTCCAACCAGGACTCCGGGATGACAAAGACACGGCGGGTTCAGGCAGGGACAGGAGCGGTGAGTTTGTATCAAGTTAATTTGTAAGTAACTGTTATTGTAACAAATCATTACCACGTTCTCTATTAGCATTTAAAAGGCTGTTAAATATAGATATATACTGTATTTATTTAAAAGCCACGACTGGTCGACTATTGGCTTAAACTAACAACTATTGGTCCACTAAGAAAATCTTTAGACAGGGCAGCCCTAATTTGTAGTGACGAACCCAAGAATTGTCACCAAAATCCAGTTCCCTTCAGCTCTACAGACCCCTTTAGCATCTTTCAGCTCATTGTTTCTGTTTTACGGTCGGCAACTTTTTGTTGTTGGTTCACTTCCACTGCTCTCATCAGTCTAGCTTGTTCTTGTTCTGCTTCCCTGAATAATTCGCCAATAATTCAGCTTTAAGATAGCTTTAAGATATGTACCGAGTTAGGTTCCTTTGTCAAATTTTGTAACTCCTGGTTCCATAACAATACAAACAGGAGATATTTTCAATACATTCAGTAATCTTTAGACCAAAACCAACAGTGTTAGTCCATCTTTCATTATTTACGAATTACTCCATACTCTGAGCCAAAATGTTCTCCAGGAGACATAAATCTTTAAAAACAGATCACAAATATAGGTTAAAAAAGGCTAAATAATTTGCAACAAATCGTGCCTTTGTTGGGAACTAGTGAGTATCTCTGGCAGCATGATGGCTCAAAATAAACTGCGGTGTGTTCATGGTAATAAGGGAACATGATACCCAGTGCAACGGAGCTCTGCGGCACAGAGGAATACGATATATCGAATGAATGACGATATACTTGTCAGTAGGATCAAAGTTTTCTATCACATCTTTTGCTCAGAGTTTGTTAGTTACAGAAAACAAGAATGAGTTAACTTTTATCCAAAAGAAATTTTACTTCAAACACATTGAAACAGACTCATTTGATTTGCTGTTTCTCTTTCCCCTCCTCCTCGCTTTCCTTTGTTCTCCCTGAAGGTGTAAACTGACCTGCACGTGTTCCCACAAGCTACTGTGTGTATGAGCTCCATCTCTTGCTGTCGGACAGTAACTCATCTCCCACTTGACACGGATAACAAATTGCCTCCCTGCAGGCCAAAAAATTTGTTTGAACGCAGTCATTAGCCTATGTTGCTCGTTGAATCAGAGAGCAATGTACCTAAGTTGTAAATTCACCCATGTTTGTTGACGTCAAAACGTACAATGCAGCAAGAGTAAAACTTGGACCACTTTTATGTTAAATGTGACAAAGAGTCCTGCAACTGCTTTCCAAATGATTTTAGAAGAATTATTTAGTTTAGCAACTTGTATTCGAAGTACTTCTGGACATCGCGATTGAAGTCAGCTTGGGAACTATCGGATGCTTGGAACCCCTGGGCCTAAAGAGAACCTTTCATTTTAAGACTTGCACAATGGAGTTTTTTAAAGAGTGATAATTTGCTCCCATGTTGCACCTCTCTCCAGCCCTGCCAACTTCAGCCTGTGTGTGAGAAAAAACTGAACGAAAATTTGACGACTTAGCAAGATTGTGCCGCTAAATAACAGCATTGACACACAGCGAGGAGGGTGTGCCCGGCGCTCGCAGAGGTGAAGTCAGGGAGGGGAGGAATGTTGGCTGCAGATGAAAGCGGGAGCGCAGGCTGGGATGTGTAGTAACTCTCCACACATCAGCCTGTTGGTATAATAAGCCGGATCCTAGAGGCAGGAGAAGAGAAACGAGGAAGAAACATGCCAAAACATCTCTCACTCTGCTGTCTGTGTGTGTGTGTGTGTGTGCTGTCCTCCTCGCTGTCTGTCTCTTTGTCTACAGTATGTTCAAATTATTATTTTTTCCAGTTGACATGACTAAAATTACGCTGTCAAAGCTACGCAACTTAATGCTGACGGGAGTAGCTGACATTCATTGATTCATTCATACTTCACGTTCAATCCCGTCAACTTTATTGACACAACTCCCTTTAAAAATCTGTATTTTAGAACACGTCATCTGTCTCTTTTTTTTCTTTACCTCTGTGTGCGTGTGTGTGCTGGAGTGACAGCGGAGCCTTCAAAGAGTCCCGTCAATACTGAGATTAGTGACTAAAGATGGACCCTTAGGCCTCGGGGCCGGTCTGAAAACGTCCGTGTAACCCTTCTTTTACCTCCAGTTGGTATGATGAACTCCTCCAAGAGCAACAGCAGTGGTAGAGGAAGTGTTCAGATCCTTTATTTAAGTAAAAGTACCAATATGACACATTATAAATACTTGATTACAAAATAAAGGGCTGCTTTGAAAACCATACTCAAGTAAAAGTACATGAGTATCATCAATAAATGCACTTACAGCAAAATATATGTATTATTATATGTGTGTGCATCCTTTTACCATTGCAGCTAGTTTTAATCTCCTACCTAACCTATGGCTCAGGCCCCTTCTGAAGGTCACAAGATAAATCTGAGGGGTCTCGAGACGACGAAAGAAGACAGAATTCTGCTACACAAATGTACATTCTTTTTTTCTTCTAATTTTGGCTTTTTTGAGAAATATCAAATAGGCCTACTTTTACCTCTTCAGTGGAACTGCAAAAAGCTTGTACACAGACAGTTTTTTAAGGGCGCACCTGGCAAAAAGCTTGGAAACTGGTTCAAGCTTTAAATATTTTTAAAGTCAAATCTGAAAATGAAAAGTAACCAGTAACTAAAGCTGTCAGATAAATGCAGTGCAGTAAAAAGCACATTTCCCTCTGAGAAGTAAAGGTAGCATCAAATGGAAAGTACCTCAAAATTCCACCACAGTAGTTTTATATTTGTAGCTACTTTCCACAGCCGAGCACCCACTAGTGCAACCCACTACAACGCTCTGACTCCATGATGGGACCTTGTGGGCTTTTCAGACCCGACTTCACCTCTACAAGTCAGATTGCATCTGGTGTTTATTGTAATGAAAGTAATGATGCGTTCAAGTGCGTCGCTGGTCTCCTCACATTCATTGCAAAAATTGTCCCTGAAACTAAAGAGACTTTGGTGCAATAAAGACTAGATTATAAAGTTGCAGTTATTCTCTTCTTAGCAAATAAATGCCATTGATATAGGATAGCCGTTTTTTTTCTTGCGACTTTAAATGATTTATCCGGATCTAATAATTCCGCTGCAGTGACTTTGCCCTACAGTATTTTACAGCATATATATCTGGTGATGCTGAGGTTTTTCAGTTTAATTTGAAAGCAGTCCGGGATTTCCACCGCAGATGAGCATAATGACCGTGAGCTGAGTGAAATTACAGTGTCCGAGCCTCTGCTCTGCCAAAATCACAAGTTTGGAGTTTCTGTAGAAGGCCGATGTTTGTTGTAATTGTCCCTCGTGTGGGACCACAGGCGGTGCCCTCAGTGTCAGTGTGTGTGTGTGTGTGTGTGTGTAAGATTATTACCTTGTCATAAAAATCAAGCTGATCTCGATTAGGCCTGCAGAAAGAGTCGTATCGCTCCATAGCTCCATATTCAGCCAAATTGAAAAGAAATTGGATTCCTGCGGATCAGTGTGTAAAGTGTGTGTTTAATAAAAAATAATTTGGATAATAAGGTCTGCGGCCTTTCAACAGCAGCTTATGAAGATAATTCGGTCTGATCCGCCTTATTTTGCTTTTTGGCAGACTGGAAGAATTTTATTTTGGAGAGCCGCTGCGTTTCATGAGCCAACCCGCCATTGTTCATTTTTATTAAAACATACGCAGAATTAATGGGTGGTTATTTTTTAAATATACAGTCCTGTGCAGTAATGCATACATGTATTGAGCCTAGTTTTACCTGAGAAACATGGTCAGATATCTCCACCTAAAGTATGTCCACAGGAACTAAAGGCAACAGGCAGTAATTTATCTCCTCATAGATATCAAATGATTAATAACTCCTCCTCATTTATCATGCAATAATGCTTATATTTAATAGAATATTATATATAGGCTACATATTTTAGCATTTATCAGCACTCATTTTTTAAAATCTTTTTATTTATTTATTTATTTAGGCTTGAATGTAATTGTATTTATTGTTCACCACATGAAAGGAACCGGTAGATATATTTTTTCCTCCAGAATATTCACGATTGCGGAATGATATTTTAATGGTTAAAATGGCGTTTTACTGAAGACTTTGAGAAGTGGGGCCTTCATTGTCCGCCAAAAAACCGAGAGGGAGCCGGTCCGCGGCCGGTGCTCAATGTGATTTGTGTGACACGGCGGAGCTCTGCAGCCAATGAGCTGCGCGCTGCGTGTGTGCCAAGTGGAGGCAGAGGATGGTGTGTGCAGACTCACAGTGCGCTCCGGAGAGGAGGAACACACACACACACACACACTCTCTCTCTCTCTCTCTCACACACACACACACACACACACACACACAGTCCTCTCTGCTCCTGCCAAGCGCCTCTTCACAACACGGGAGGGAACAAGCTCCGGACTGCTTATTTTGGACGAAGAGAAGAAGGAAAATAACCCGACTGGAAGGATAGTAAATCTTTTTTACGGACTTTTCGTCAGGAGTTGTTGCGGTGTTTTCTCACACAGTGCCGTCCTGGCTGCAGAAGTCATGCGTCCTGTCCGCGTCAATGGTGTTCAGTACTGAGCGTCGCGTTTGTGGACCCTTCAGCCGGGATGTAGCGGAGGACAGACCCACATAAACCCGCGTTCTATCGCCCTCTCTCTCAGCAGGAATACAGTGACAGTATCGAAGCTCAAGTCCATTTCCAACGGCTGCTGTCGGTTTATGGAAAGTGAAACTCTTCTCTGAAAGTCTGCTGACTTTAACATTGATGGTGGGTTGTCTTATGATGACCCCCGCCTGGAGGTCATAGCTGACCCCTCTTATTTCCCGCTACATCACTGCCCCTCACCCCAATGATGACTATGAGCTCTATATCGGACACTTTAGTCCCTCCCGATCCGTCCAAGTCGGCGTTTTTGGAGTTCGGCGGCCACGGTTACCCCGGACACCAGCAGCCCTCCCCCGGCCTGTCCCACAGCCATTACCCGGTGCACGGTCTGCACGCCGTCGGGCCCTCGCAGCACGACGGGCCCTTCTCCTCCGGGGCGTCCTCGTACGGTCGCCCGCTGGGATACCCGCCCTATCACAGCCCCGTGAGCGCGCACCACCCCGGGGCCTACCTGCCCTATCAGCACGGGGGTCACGGCGGCGCGCTTGGACACACCAGACTGGAGGATGCGGGTAGGTTTACTTAGGAAAAATATGAAACACTCATGTTTGCTCTTTTCTTTTGCATCCACAGTTTGAGTTCAATATTCATACCCCGTGTATGAAGAGTGGAAAGATCTCAGAGAAAGAAAACAGAAGCTTTAGTTTAATTGAGTCATGGCTTATTTGCTTTATACTGGGCCCACCCGCGCTAAAATGATATGTTTGTTCATGATTCTGTGCGTCGTCTTAAATAAAGACCAGTGTGGCGGCCCAAGTCAAAAAGATGCTGGTTGCACCATCACAGAGGACATTAAATGCAACAACACGCAGAAAATAATTAAAGGAAAATCTCAGGAAACAAAATGTTATTCCTCACAGATGTCTTAGTTAGGCCCATTAAAATGTTCGGGGTAAAAAATAAGCCACAGCGGAGCGCAATAATTGGATCCACACACAGGTCGGCCGCAGCCTTGTGTTCAGTGTACTTTGGGGTTGGACGGGAGATGAGCCGAGGGCCCGCAGAGACCGTGGGACTCTCCACAAGAAGCAGCCGACTCCGGCCCTGTGGTGTCCCGCAGCGGCCAAAGCCTCAAAACACAGCCAGCACATCATCTCCAAATAACATCCACCCTGCCTGCTGCCTGCACCCCGAGACACCTCTAATAACAACAACAACAACAACCATAATAATTCCACTACTTTCAGTACTGAAAAATGAAAAAATAATTGTTGAATTCGATTTAAAAATAAATGTTAATTGAACCAAAATATTTCCTGTATAGTGTTATATAGTTTCAAAATAAAATATCTCAAGAATCCTATTTTTTCACACCAAGCAGATCAATTAAAATAATTCCTAAATAACACCACCTTTAATCATTTATTTTTTGGTCATCATATTTATAAACCCTTTACCATCGAGGCCCATTGTGATCAATATTAATGACTTAAAGCTAATTCAATGCAGACCACTTAAATATACAGATGGTGTTATATTTGATAGCTTATGTTCTAAAAAAGTGACATTGCTTCAGTGCAACTAAAAGGCACCGCCAGAAGCATAGAATTCCACCATCTGATCGGCCACTACAATGAAATAAAGAGCAGCAATCCGGATTACAAACACACATCTATATTAAGATAAATGTATGTAGACGGACTTTTGTCAACCATCATATATGTTACATTAATTATTAATAGATGTAGAGTCTGATCATACACTACTACTACTAATATTAATACAGGTCCTTCTCTACATATTTAGTTATTTAAACTTGACAACAGGCAAACACATCTTGGTTTTTCTCTCAAAATGTCTTTCTTTCTTTCTTTCTTTCTTTGTTCTTCTACCCCTCATGTACGGTATGCTTTTTTCAGAATTTTTTTTTGTCAGGTTAACATAATGTTAAGTGGCTAGGGAAATGTACAGATCTTTAATAATAATCACTCTAAATAATATTATAAAACAGTTCAAACATGTACAAAATAGTGTTTATTACATTGTTTAATACAGCAGTAAAATATAAGTAATTAAATTACACTCCTGTATATATTTTATCCCAACTTGTTTTCGTGCCTTTTTCATTTAAATTCAGTGTACAGCGTTTTAAATCGCTGAACAAATGAGCAATTCAAACTTTAATTAAAATTTCTTTAATTTAAAAAAATTAATAAAAATGTATAGTACACACAGACATCAATAAGCGCCACATCAGCACTTTCAACTGGTTTTCTCAGCTTGTCTCTACACGATGCACATAAAGGTAATTAACCACAAATAAAGCATCATCAGTGTGTTCGGTGATGAATAGACTGAATAGGAACACACCTGATGTCGTTTTATTACTATTATACTTAATAAAATATCCTAATCTCAACTGATGACATATTGAGGCGTTACTTGTGTCAGCTGTAAAACATGTTAAACACAATGGATTTTCATATTCTGAGTATCTGTGATTGGTGTTGACAGGACTTCAGCCCTACTGCCCAGTCCAGTTACATTAACAATGCTTTATGGTCATTTTTATATTTTCTTATATTTTATGAAATGTTTAGGTCCAGTTTGTGGCAAAGCAAAGAGTTACCACTTCAGTACTTTTATATATATATACATGCATACACACACACACATATTAACCATATTAATATTATATATTATATTAACCATATTAAGACACACACAGACACACACAGACACATGTGTGTGTGTGTGTCTTAATATGGTTAGACAAATATATATATTTTTTTTAAAGACAAAAACGGCTGATTTTACAATCATTATTATTTTTCCACATACAACCTAAAGCTTACGGGACGTACAGTCAGAAATGTATGCCCTCTTAAGTTAACTTTTTTCTTTCTTCGTCAAATGTCTTCGAAGGGCCCACTGTTTTTCCCTCCGCCAGTGCTCATGCACTTGAGTGCGCCCGTGCCGCCTCTCTGCAGCTCAGTTACAGAATCTGAACGTCTTGTGGGGCCTCGGCTTGTCCGCAGCTGTTCTCTCCTGCCACTGCAGGCTATAAGCTCATGTCATAACATATTCAGCGTGGGCGAACATACAGTCGGATGGCTTTCCTGAAAAAGGGCGAAGAAGAAAAGAAGCCCTCTCGGCTGAGCTGAACCAGAAATGCTTTGGAGAGAACAAAGTGGATTCATCCTTTTACCTGCGTCCATTGTCATATAGTTATTAGACTCATTTTACAGCCTTCTAATCACACTATATTTCATAATACTGAAGTGTACTCATAGAATTTACAATGATATTATACCACACAATATTACACATAGAAAGCCTCATAATTTGTAACTTATACAAAATTGCCCCAACCACTATTATTTTCTATTTTGCTGTTAAATCTAGGGCTGTGCGATATGATAATATGAAAATATCCCATTATGTTCTATATTTTATTCCGTTGTGTCCAAGACCACACTCTTCACAGCAATATTATCGTCATTTGGAAGAGGCTTTGCATTCTTCCGGATGCAGGCAGGAAATTTGCGTGAAGGCAACACAGACAAAAAAGGAGGTGAAGGTGAAGCAGAATGGAGTGATCCCGAAACAGGAGACTGACTCCGACCTTGCCAAGACAAAACAAGGAGCTCGTACCTAAAAGTGGGGCTACTTCTGTCACACGGATGTGGTCTTTGTATGACATGGTGGTCATTTTATTTTACTAATTTACAGAAAAGGTGCCTCATTGTGATATGTATTATCTGGATATTGGGTTTTTGATATTGTTATACCAGGATATGAGATTTCGGTTATATTGCACATCCCTGTAGTTCAATTTTAGATGGTTATGGTTAGGTGCATGGTTAAACTTTAAAATGGCTGAGCCCATATATGGCCTGTCCCTACATATTAGACAAAAAACATTTTTTTTAAAAACACACCGTGATATGAGGCTGAATGTGTTCCTGTTTCTTCTTAACAACTTCCATCACATTCTAATAGAGCCCACGTGTATATCGTATAAAAACAGACCTGCTCCCTGAATTTCTGTTTCCTCATAGTACGCACATTCTACTTTCTTTAGCATTTTTGTGGGATAGAAAAAAAGCAATCAGTAAAACCCAGCACGATGAGGAAACCAGCGCAAAACTCCACCACAAGCTTCCCTTAAACAAAGGTGTCGGAAATGTGACAGAGGATAGATTGAAAAGCAGGAATTTCTATCTTTTACAACATTTTGAAATGTTTCATGACCATTGACTAATCTTGTGATCTTTTGCCCGACGGCGCCTGTAAGGCCAAACTCCTGCCCCCCCTCAAAGCCCCTTGTTGATATTTAAAACACTGCTCTCCTCCCTCCTCTTCTGCAGAACACGAGAAGCCCACGGCGGTGATAGAGAACGGGGAGGTGAGGCTGAACGGGAAGGGAAAGAAGATCCGGAAGCCTCGGACCATTTACTCCAGCCTGCAGCTTCAGGCGCTCAACCAGCGCTTCCAGCAGACCCAGTACCTTGCCCTGCCCGAGAGGGCCGATCTGGCGGCCAAACTGGGCCTGACGCAGACCCAGGTACTGTGGAAGATGATACACACAAAAAACCACACAACATATGTCTGCTCTTTTACATTCAGAGTCTTAGCTGAGCTTTTTTCTTTTATTTCAAGATGATATAAAAATAAATTTTGCACATGAAAAGGACTGAAAAATATCTGTCTGTGATGACAAGAGTCGAAAACATTTTTGATAAGTGTGGGCTAATTTCTCTAATTGAGGGCGTGTATCAATTAAATGTGTATATGACACACTGTGAGCTGTCATTGGAATGCATACCTACCACATAGATTAATATCAATAGAACATACACACCTACAGTGTCGTTTTTTAATAGAAAATACAGAAAACACAACAAAAGTGAACTGAGATTTATTCTAGAATCTGATTCTATCCTCTCGTTGATTGTTTGATTGGATATGTAATTAAAGTGTTCCTTGGTTCCCAGTTAAAGGGCACCTAGGCCAGTATAAAAGCCCAAACAGGCAATGGTACATTCTTGTTAACTGTTGTCACCGCACGTTCCTCTATGTGTAATTACACGCTGGCATACACAAATGTCATGTGAAGTTTAGTCATAGATTGTCATGAAATTAGAAAACAAAAGGTCATGACACAGATTACAACAAAACCAGATGGAACAAAGACGCCTCAAATGCACATCATGAATTGGGAGTGTGTGTGTGTAAATGCGTGTGTGTTGGGCGTTCACCGTGAATGTACATTTATGTGTCTGCAGCTGATGTTAAGGGGAAGACTTGTTTTGCCGCTGGTCATCTTTCCCTCTCAGTGCCTTTTATTTGTCGGTTTTCTTTCCCTCAGAACACGCACACACACACACACACACACACACACACACACACACACACACACACACACACACACACACGTGCAGCCGACAAAGGCAAATACGAGCCTTAATGGCGGCCATTTTGTCTGTTACATGAAGCCGGTGAGGCAACATCGGCTGCTGTCGATGTTTTCTAGCCTATTGTTTCACCACTGTGAACATCTGAAGTTCATGCTGTTTTTATAGGACGCTTTGGGATTTAATAATAGTCCACAACATTTTCCTAAAAAAAACTCACTTGATATTAGACAATAGTGAGTCAGCCTTTATCCAGCTGATTAAAGCTCTGATATTCTAAACACTCTAAACACTAAACAATCACCCCGATGAACAGGACAGATATTCATATTTTGTCCCAACATGTGTGAATGACAAACCGGTTTAAGAAAAATTTAAAGACAACAAAAGAAAATCTGTAGGGAGAATGTTTTTTAGAGATTGTTCCTCTGACAAACTGTTTCCTCATTTCCTGAGCATCTTTAATGTACTACAACAATAGATCAGCTTCAGAGGTCAGTTTCTTTACAATACAATATACAGCTGAAATAACTTATCCATCCAGCAGAAAAACACATGGATTTTCTTCATGGACGACATTGTCTTAATTCGAAACTGTTTTTTGATAAGCAGTAGATGCGCTACTCTACAAAAGCAAAGAACAGTAAATACGTATAAAAAAATTGTTTAACATGTTACGGCTGGATTTTATGGCAAAAATAATTGAAATGAAAACATTTTCTTTCAGCCTTTTTGTCCATCTTAACAAGTTCGTTTAAAAGAAAAACTTTAATTAATTGAATTAAATGTATCTTTGTTTTAGTTATAAGAAATGAACTCACTCTTTAATATGTTTAAATATGTAATTTAAAGGAACTTAATCTCACCAAACCGCATGAATTCCACCAGAGTCAAAAACTGAGATAGCAGCAACTGAGCTATGCTAAGCTAGCTGCCATTTAGCAGGTGTTTAGTTCTGTTATTTTCTCCATCATGACTAGGTTCAGCGACTGACTCATTTAGTAAAATGGAATAAGCATCTGAAATTACCCAGATGTCAGTTCATTTTTTATTTAAAGATAAAAGTGATTAAAATGAATTGGTATATTCATTATAGCTCTCTTTCTTTAGCAGTTTGGCAGTTTTTTTTTTTTTTTTTTTTTTTACAATAATCCTACATTTCTATGACAATACATTTTTAAAACAGACGTAAAAAGAGGTCATTTTGACCAAATGTGTAAATACGTTACTGTGGTTTGGCTGTGTAGGGCAGTATAGTTATTATATGTACATTAAATCTACAACATTTTTCACAATTTAGTGTTTAGAAGCAAATATGAAGTCAAATTTGGACAGGAACTGTTTTCTTCATCAGTAACATATTCGTATTTAAAATGTATACTGTATTCAAATGGGCTTACCCTGTCAGAATGCACAGCCACTGTTATTCAGAGCTGTTATCATCCCAGCTGTAATTATAATCATTGTTCTTCATGAAGCGACAGCAGGAAAGGAGAAGGTGGCACATGTGGCGGCATCTTTGTGCCAGGAGATAAGGTGTGGCCTGTGTCAAAAAGGAGTTATTTTGTAAAGTCATATAATGCTGTGCGATCAAAGATACATTACACATGTGGAAAGCAGAGTGAAGGTTTGAGTACTGAGCAGGTGTCCCATTGGGAAAAGATTAGATTGTTTGGTAATCATTTGAAATACGATACATCCACGTGTGTGTGTGCGTGTATGTGTGTAATGATGTCATCAAATGAACCATCCTAATCCCATATGAATTAACCACGGCAGCTATGTTTACCCTGGGAGTAAGAGATGATCTGTTCATGTGCCTTTGCCTTTTGTAGTGGCAAAGTGGTTTTCAGTGTGGTCTGCTGAAAGTCAGACTCACATGCACGATTACTGAAGAAGCTTTTTTTTTTTTTTTTTTACCTTTCTCTCTCTGTATTCTTTGAGGTGTTTTGGATTGGGGAAAGTGGGCTTTGACTGATTGTATTATAGTCTTAAGTATGTCAGCGTTATGTCAACTGATACTAGAGTGCAATTAAAGGATATCTCTGGCTGTAGTTTGAGGCATGCAGACACATTTTTGTGGGCTTGGGATAAAGAATGTGGGTGTTTTCTATTTACTTTCTTTTCTGGGAATGCTTGCCCTGTTTTAATTTCCTTTTCGTAGATAAGTCCATGTCAAGGTGAGACCTTTATTAAACGTAACAAATGTTTTGGTGAAACGTCATGACTTAATTGTGGACTGGTTTTACAGGTCAATTAACAGTCTAAACTCTAAAGTATTTCTTGGCGTCCCGGCCAGCACACTCCTGATAAAAACACAACCTAAATCTTTTACACCTATAATATATGTAACAATTAGTGAGCTTAAGTTGTGCTGGGAGGCAGATTTTGTGACCTCTGGACAGAGCCAGGCTACCTGTTTCCCTCTGTTTCCAGTCTTTATGCTATGCTAAACTAAACAGCTGCTGGCTGTAGCCTTATGGTATGGATTTTCTTATCTATCTGTCAGCAAGAGAGTGAATAAGCGTACTTCCCAAAGGGTCGAACTATTCCTTTTTACCAGGAATTTTAGCTATTTTACCATAGCCAAGGTTTAGCTGCGCTGCCACATTGATTGTATTAAAGGTCCAGTGGAATTTAGTGACATCTAGCAGTGAGGCTGCAGATTGCAACCAATTGAATACTGCTCGCTTCACCCTCCTCTTCCAAGCTTGTAGGAGAAATTATGGTGGTGCCTGAAAATGTGAAAGGTCCTATCTACATCCAGTTTTTAGTTTGTCCGTTGTCCGTTTGTAGTCGACAATCTTTTCTGTAGTCAGATATTCACAGAAAAACAAAAACAACGTCAAACAGGAGCTGTACCTTGTCTCTGGGACAGTTGTTAGCAGTATGGACCTTTTCTCTCGTGACATAGCTATTGTCAAATGTTAGCAATGTCCCTAACCGTACCTTCATCACTGATGATCATCCGATAGTCACGTGCAGATGTTGTATAAATAAAAGCAATTTTTAAAATGTGACACCGAACATAAAAAAGGTCATATACCAGGGTTTTGTGGGAATTATTCAATGATCAAGGTCTGTTTATAGGCTTGGAATCTAACCGGCAATCTAAGTACAGTTTAAAAAAGCTGTTTCACACTACCAATTACATGCAAAAGCTTATTTGTAATTCTGAACAATGTCATATTTTTACATTTTTTGCATTTATTTTTGTAAATATGCGTAAAAAAAAATAAAAACACTTTTTTTTTTACAAAATACATTTTCAAATATAACATCATGTTTTAAGAGCCTGTTTTCTCTCCTTTGGTGGTGACAGTAAATCAATGGAGACACAGAACAGCGTGTATTGAACACGCAGTCGTGTTGCTCTCAGTAAGCTGTAATTAGCCGTGTGTAACTGTCCAGCACATACAGTATGTACTGTACACATACACACATTCCTCACATGCATGGATGCACTTTAGTCCACTCAGACACATACCCCATGTATCTGCTTAAACATATGTAGCTCATGTGCATTTTCATACACATATGCAGATGGAAACAAACACACTCTTGAAGATAGTGATCATGCGCCACATCTCTATCCTGCCTTCATGCCATTAGGCTGGCAGCCAACCACTGACCACTTTCCATCTGAATCGCTAATGTTCCCAGACGAAGCTGAGAAATGGCACGTAGCACATTTCTAACTTTTTTCCTTGAATTCTCTCTCTCTCTCTCTCTCTCTCTCTCACTCACACTCACACTGCCTATACAGCTTAACCCACCCACCAAAGGGAAGCATTTTATTCCTTGGAAATCCTCACAGGACACCACTGATCAACTTTTTTTCCACGCAGTATTCAAGAATGCAAGGTTTGGTTTGATATATCGTGTTCACACACATACTGTACACACACACACACACACACACACACACACATACACACTCAGTGGCACCTGGCTTGCCTCTCAGCCACCCTCCTCTGCTAATGTCGGTGTCATTAGTCGCACTCTCAGAGAAGCTGTCAGCTCCATGTTGCTGCTGGAATATGAAACCAATAATTACAGCAGAAATCCTCTCACTGAGGCTGCATTAACTTAACGTGCTGTTGATTGACTCCTGGGCTCATAAGCTGCGCTCCACATTCTCTCTTTAGGTTTTCATCCGCGAGCTACCACTGTGGTGTACCACTCCAGGTAATTATTATACTGCAGGGGCTGCAGTTTTGTGGCTGTGATTTTTATTACATTTGTCCATAGATTATTGCAGTGGTTCCCAACCTTTTTCCTCAAGAGACCCCTTTTCTCTCGTTTAGTAAACTGACGACCCTTGATTAAGTGACATATTTCATGGTTATTTCATATTTTATGTGAAATATTGAGTGATTTGGATGAATTGTGTTTTTTATCATCTCTAACAATCATAAATAGACTTTTTTCAGTGTTTTCTTGTCCCAGGCACTTGGCCATTGTTCACTGTATTTTAAAAAGGTTTAAACATTACATTACGTTACATTACGTTACATTGAACCTTTCAAGTAACACAAACTCAGTTTTTTAAGTTTAAAAAATTCTTGTTTAGGCAGTAAATTTTAAGTGACATTAACCTATATCTGTAAGTTACAGAAATATTCTTAATTAAGTACTTTTGTTTTCACAGTACATTACTAAAGCTACTTGATCAAGAGGGAAGTTAGTTTTACTTAAAGTTTTAATGTAATCAGTTTGGACTGTTTTTAAGTTAAAGGAACCTATCTGGTTTACTTTTCTTTATAGAAGTGAACCTAATGCAGAGATATAGCCCTACAATGTCTGTTTTTTTTTGTTTTTGTTTTCTTACACCCTTTAAAAACTAGAAGGCCTCAGAACCCCCCATAAAGCTTTAGCAACCCCTAGTGGGAGTCCCGACCCCCAGGTTAGCTATAAGGAGAACTAAGATTTCAGACATGATTTTCTTTTTAATTGAAGAATTGAGTCAATATAGAAATTGGAGAACTTGGAGGAAGAGTTTGAAGTGCAACTACAAGTTAATTTCTGAATAACACCATTATGTGCTGTAATTACAATGGTATTGCAGATTTATGGAGTGATAGTATAATTTTATGTATTTGCCACCATCCATACTAACTTCTAACAGGCTGTGATTGACGTCAGCAAATACACTGGAACAATAGAGATCAAATTAAATGTCAGATTTCTCTCTGCATGACTTCTTGGCCGTTTAAGCTGAAAGCTGGGTGTGAAAGCTGGTTGCCTTTTTGATTATCGGGTAAAGGGATAATTTTTTCCACATATTTAGAGTCAATTAGACCAGTCTGAAATTAGATTTTTTATAGAATCAAATATCTTCCATGAACCACTTCAACCATCTTCATAAATACCCATAAAATCCCAGGGTAATAATTCCCAGGACTGTCAGTGTGGAGGAGAAAACAATTTTAGCGCCAAGAGTATTTTCTCCTCTTTTCCTTTCTCTTTTATCTTTCTCTCCCCTCTTGCCGGCCAGAGGTTTTTCTCCGTGTAGCACCAGTCCTTTGGGCGTTCGCTTTTCCTTTACGGTGCAGTTAAAACCTGTTTGAGACAAAAGTATCCTTCACTGACTGTGTGTAATTATTTATGATTCATTTGTTCCCGCTAAGCTGACAGGTTGCCCGAGAGGCATATTCATGTAATTTGATGCTCAATTTGCAAGCATGCTGGAAACCGAGACCATGCCAATTATATCAACAACAACACAACTGAATCATCTCTAACCACAGAAAAATGATTGAAGGGATTCATTTCAATATTTACAGATATTCTAATAGTATTATATCTTTCCTATTCACACACACATATAATATTGTTATTATGGGACTGCTGCCTTATGTGTTCAAAGGAATTAATGCAACTTTTTTATGTATCTACAGGAAACACAATGTGTTACAATAATCTTATCATACGGAACGTGATGGTAGTTTTAGCTCCTGTGGTATCACGTATTTTATTTTATTGTAATACTATTTCTGTCTATTACATTATTTACATTAACATTGTGGGCTTGTTATGTCACTTGTTCATATGTATCGCACATTATTACCTAATTAATTATTACTTTATTGCATTATCTTTAACAGTATTCCTAGTAGGTCTGCAGTTTGTATATAATAGTGTGTATAGTATGAGCTCATCATATTTTTTGTCTTATCATTTTAATATTCATAATATTAATTAAGTTATTATCTAATTACCAAATAAGAACATCTGTAAAATTGATAATTTAATTTTTGAATTGATTTTCATGTAAGATGGATTCTCTACTCTAAAAAATCTCTTTTACGAGAGAGACTTGACCAAGGTAGCAGGCGGACAAAATCACAACATATTAAAATATAACGTATACCACATAATATACAGAAAGCTCCACAATAAACACACAAACTAACATTCTTTACGATGTGCTTAAATTCATCAATCAATGTAACTGTGTCTAATTTTAGATCTTTTTGCAATCTATTCCAGGTGAATTGTTAGAGAATGCAGTCTTCCCCAGAGCTGTCAAATAATGTGAATTAAAAAGCATAGAGGAATGTAGCTGGTAACTACCAGAGCAGAGACAGAGCAGGTTACAGAGATATGCTGGAAGTTTACCCAATAACTTAAATACTGTTCACTTGCTGGGTTTAACTTTAGAGGATATTACTGCAGTAATATGCCTTTAAAAAAATGTCTAGAGGAAGAGGAAGATAGTTGACAGCAAAACTACTGACATCTAACAAGTAACATTACATCCACATACTTTATGGCTCTTGATAATGGTATGTTAACGTTAGTTTAGCTCGTTGTAGATGTCTGCCTCCTGGCCTGCGTGTTTTCATTGTTTGTCCCAGCTTGCTGCTTATATATTTTCAGTGAGATTATGAGCATTTAATCCGTTTATGTTACCTTTCTCCCTTCAAGAAGCAGTTACATTAGCTAACATTACTGGCAGAGACTTGAGAAACTGTAACGTTAGCTAACATGTCTAGCACAGCCTTCATAGATATATATACTGACTAGATGTCGCCTTGACTACCGCTGTTCATTGGAACGAATGCGTCAATAGAGACGCCATCTTGCAGCGGGGATCCACCCCCCTTTAATGCATTAGTGTCAATCTAGGCAAAGATTGAACAAAAACAAAATCACCATAAATCGTCAAAATCTCGAACGATTTTTTAGTTTTTTGGTTTGTTCCAACTGACAGACATGTATTTATGATCGAGTCCAGAGGAAATTTAAGCTTTTGATATTAATATATTCTACTTCAAAATGTAATGCCTAGTACTAGTAGGCGTAGGTTTATTATTCTTCCACTTAATAGTATGTGTATTTGCTTTTACACCTCTATTGTACTCAAATCTAATGACACTCACAAAAAAATCCGATCTAAAGGCTTCACAGCTCAATATTTCATGCAGTACCTTTTTGACGGTCGCGCTTTTATTTTGAAAACGTCGCTGAACCAACCATAGATATATATACTGAAACATGAGACTGAAACAATATAATTTCATCACCAGAAATATACTTTCGTAACATTCAATATCATAAAACACATCATCACCTGTGAAATATTATCCCTTGCTGTTTGGTTTTTTCATTTCTTTTGTTCGAACATCCATAAGCAGCACAACAGTCCGGCATCTTTAGAGCTGATCTGAATGCGGGAAAACTAATTTGGCGCTTCAGATCCCCGCTCCAAGATGGCGGCGGTTTTGACGTATCCTTAGAAGCCCAAGGCGACATCTAGTCAGTATATATATATATATATATATATATATATCTATGCACAGCCTTAAGGCCTGTTAACATTAGCTAACATAATAGCAGAGATGTTACTAAAAGGCTACTAGGAGCTGCTTATTAATGCAACAGTTCAAGCAGCTGAAACAACTTCTTATGAAGACATTTTTAGGCGGCAGAGGATACGTTTTTTCAGTTACTAACTAATTTGTATCTGATTTTATCCCCCTTTCTCCCAATTTGGTAGCCAATTAACCCTAACCCCTAACTCCTAACCCTAACCCTAACATAGGGCTGTGGGAACATAGGGCTGACCCCACTAATACAAAGTGTGATTGTTTGGATAAATGCGTGTCATTCAATAAGACTGCATTGTGAATATCTTCTTCATCCCTCTGTCTTTCATATCATTTAGTTATTCTTCATTCATAGTTTGTTATCAAGGGGTTGCTTTTTATTTTGGGAAAGTTATATTTTAAACATGACAAAAGGTTAACGCATCTTTTTCACCCTAGTTTCCATGGACAGATTAACAGATCGTCCTTAGTACTCGAGGAATAAATGACAGGCCAGCATTCACTGACCCAAGACCTAAAATCAAGACAGTAAAATGGGCATCCTGGTTGTTTGGTTTGAAACACAGGGTCCCAGTTTAAGTCTTGTATCAGAGAGAGACCCTCCTGTCTCTTCACCACACAATATCAAAATCAAAGCAAAAATGTCAGCAGTGCTACATCTAGAGCAGTGGTTCTCAAACTGTGGGGCATAGAGCCACTGATCTACAGTACATTTTCCCATAGTGTGACTGCATTTATTGTAAATTAAACGTCTTAGACCAGCATGCTGTTGTGTGGATCTGCTCTTAATCTTTCCCTTTTCTTGTCCTTCAGGTGAAAATATGGTTCCAAAACAAACGATCCAAATACAAGAAGATCATGAAGAACGGGCCCTGTGGACCTGAGGGAGACCACCTCGCGCCCCCACCGCCGTCCTCCTCCTCTCCGTGCTCCCTGTGGGACATCAGCATGGCCGCCAAAGGCGCACCGGTGCACTCTGGCGGATACATGAACAATTTTGCTCACTGGTACCCCGGACACCAGCAGGACTCCATGCCGAGGACTCAGATGATGTGACAGACGGGAGGTCACAACACTTCCAGGACAAACTATGGATTTATTACCAGCAAGCTGACTGGAGCTGTTGTTAGGGACATGGACATTGGAACGAGTCTGAGCTGCTCTGGAGGCAAAAATAATATAACTGGCAGAGATCAGTCACAGTGAGCAGATATGTGGCTTAAGGCTGAAAAGGCAAGGGGAAAGCTAAAGCATATCAAATTCTTACAGAGTACAGACAACTAAGATAATTAAGCATTTTAAACAAATTATTACTTTGAATTTACTTTGATTTTAGTATTCACAAAATATGTCATCAGGACTGTCACCATAGAACTGGGATAGACCTGTCTACACGATAGCACCATTGCAACCCTAGCATTATAAATAAACCAGTGAGACTGCTAATGAGATTCCAACTAGCTGTTCCCACAAAAACATAATTAGCTTGTAACTAGCTGTGCGTTTACATCTCGATAAGGAATCAAAAAAATAGTTCTCTCGATGGCAGTATGACAAGAGTTAGCATAGTTAGCCTAGCAGGCTATGCAAGGCTAAGCCATGCTAGTCTATAGCTATGCAAGTTAACCAGTCTGTCTAGGAATATCCTGACCGCTACAAAAAAGAAATAATGGGGTTTTATTTTTTTATTTGTAGACTATTCTTTCACTGTTTTACTGTTCATTTAGCCAGTTAGCTAATTTGATTTTTATATATTTGACTTCACCTATAAAGATTTAAAGTGAGGTTGTGCTAAACGTTTACTAAACGCCAGCCTTAGCCATAAGTCACAGGATAATGGTGAATCAGAGTTAGAGTAAGGCAGTCAGCAAACAGACTCCATAATGTCCTTTGCACAGCAATATCTATGCAAAGTTTGTTTATGTTGGCTAACATTAGCCACCATGAGCTACTGGTCATCCCTGACTACGTAATTGGCAACCAGTGTACTGAAAGGAGCAAGGGTTTGTTTAATCGCTTATGAATTCATTTTTTTGTTTCATTGTCTCACTTTTTAATGTGGCCAGTCAGGTTATTTGTGTCTCCAGAGGAGCTCCGCCTGCATGGACATTTTTGATAAAGCTACAACTCAAAACTAATGTCAGCCCTGCACCTCTGTTTCTGGACATTTCAGGGTTTTTTTTCTTGTCTTTTCAGTGGGTTATGGTGGGGTGGGTACACGTGTAAAAACAAGGGTTGTTCAGGGTTTCTTCATGGTTGTTCTTTATGGAACTGTACTGATAAAAAGGACAAAACCAGAGTTTGCTAATCTTAAAAAACAGATCAAATTAAATAACTAAAGAAAGACCTTTGATTCTGACCATAGTGTGTATTTTATCAATTTTGACATGGTGTAACACTATAAAGGCTTTGTGTAGCATATAGACCTTTAAAGAGCCTTTATGAAACAGAGGCACTGATAAGGTATATGAACAAGCAGCCATTTTATGGTACGTATAATCCCCTTTTTTAAGAGTATAAGGAAAATAGTCACAGAATGGACTACTTTATTGTCAAATTTTATATATATTTTTCATAATAATAAAAGCTCTCAAATTTAAGCTTCAGTTTAAAGATGAAGCCAAAATGAAAATGCCAGAAATGTATTGGAAAGTCACATGTATAAAACAAATTACACCAGGTCATTCAAGACTAATGTGCTGATTTTGTCGCGCTCATAATTGATTCTACTGACCAAATTTAAATAATTAGGCCTACCACTCCAGCTAGTCATTGTTCAGTTTTGTCGGATTTTAGTCGGTTCGGAGTCTTTGGCGGCAATGAGCTGCCAGATGCAGAGACTTTGCCATGCTACATAACAGGGTTTCATTAACTGCGGTTCTACACTGCTGATTGTGAACAACATTTCACTTTTATTTTCTTTTTATTCTCTGGTGGATTTTAGTGATGGTTGCTGTCAGTTTCACTTTGTTTTTCTGCTCCCCTCTTGAGAACTTCTGAAGTGGGAAACTCCTTATGACCTGCAGTTTATAGTCATATATATAAGCTGTGTTCCATTGACTGGAATTTATTCAACAACCTCTTCAAATATTGAATTTATATTTTGCCGATAATATATTGGCTTTGGGTCAGGTTGCGCTATGTCATTTGAAATAAATCAAACCCAGTGATCATTGCCACCCTATTTGATTTTGTTTATTTAACTTACATTCAGCAGTGGAAATAAGTTTTTTTGTTTTTTTTTTCACTTTTAACAGGTAATATGAAATTTAGGTTTCAGTAATGCATAAAATAACATATCACTTCTCAGTATAAGGTCTCCGTGTGCCCCAGAGGCCTGGAGCCATTTTCTCTAAAGTCGTAAATCAGAAGAAGAGGGTCACATCTTTCGCCCCGCAAACATCTGGAAAAGCAAAACGAGTCGTCAAACATCGTCAATGATTTTATAAAATGACCACGTCAATTATAGGTAATTTAGGACACAGCTTGTTAAATAAAGCTTTCACTCCGACGCTGTAATTATCTGTAATTGTCAGTCAAGGGAATATCCTTCTGCCTCAGGCCATAAAGGAAAAGCCTAGGAAGTAGTGGATTACATCAAACTGGATTACTGAGGGCTAATCCTTTCACAACAAATTGATGTGTTGAATGAATGTTACAAAAAATGCATTCATGCATTACTATTATGCTGCTTGCGGTTAGGTTTTTTTTCTGTGGATTTTATTTGAACACTTTTTGGAGATGATTGAGAATGAGATTATGGAACAGCTGGAATCTAGTTCATTTTCTTCTGTTTTTTTATTCTTTTCAAGGTAAAAAAAAAAAAAAAAGAAAAGAAAGAATATATTTCATTACAAGAGTAATCCAACAGCCAGGTCACTGTTTGGACTGGTCAGATGGACTGAAAGGACAAAAGTAAACTTGCCAAATTACATTCAGGTGTGGTTCATTATGAGAACAAAAGGCCACAGTGAGATAGTGTCTGAGAGAATTTGTGTACATTTGTGTCTGAGTGTTAAAAGGTGATAAAATATTTTTTTTCCTGGCAGAGAGAGAGAGAGGCATTGTTGCACTGCCACCCTATGGGTTGAAAAGACTTACACATATTGATAGAATCAGTGCAGCTGGAAAAAAGATAAAACAGGGTTTCCACACCTCATGGAAAACCTGGAAATTTAGACTAGTTTTCTAGTCATGGGAACACCTGGAAACTGATTAAAATGATCATGAATATCCTGGAAATAATCAGTTTTGGGGAAATTTTAATTGTATTTTAGCTTATATTGTGGCCAAATTAATATGGTTAAAGAGAAACTGTAGTCAGTAGACCTTTTTCACGGCTGCCATTTTGACATGAAATAGGGTAAACACAGGTGTTACCATTTAAAGTTCCGTCCCATTCAACTCAAACAGGGGCATGTTGGCTCACTGGAAAGGCTCTGCTACACAAAATGGAATGGAACCTCAATTGGTATCAATGGTAACACCTTTAGTGTTTATGTTACTATTCCACGTCAAAATGTCTGCTGGCAAATAGGTCAGTTTGGAACGAAAAAGGTCAGTTTGGCGAAAACAGCCTAGAGCTGTCCGATAAACGCTGACCACTGTTTGTGAGCAAGTGAAGAAAAACTCCTGGAATAGTTCTAGAAAATAATTTATTAAAAAGAGTGGGAACCCAGAAAAAAATAATCAACTGTGTAGGTGGTCTGTATATAGCGTAATATATATATATATATATATATATATATATATATGCTCAAGCTCTATCATTTAACTAAAAGTTAAATAATCGTGAGATCCAGACAAACAAATGCTAGCATCGTTGCTATATTTTTTTCTTGGTCTCTAAATGTTTCCATAGTCTGTTGTATCAGCGTGGTGGAAGTACTATTCAGAGCCTTTTAGTAACATACCACACAAAGTATGAACGTACTCATTCTGCAGAAGGGTTTTACTATTATATCTGATGTTTTTGGATAAATATTACCGCTGCATTAATGTGTATGTTGCATTTTACTGCTGTAGATGTGTAAGGCTCAGCTCATTTGAAATACTTTGGGTAGTTTAATGCATCATATGAGATGAGATTGCAAAAACAGTTTTCAGCCACAATGCATTTTCCATTTTCAAGAAACAAGTAACTATAGCTGTCAGACAAATATAGTGGAGTAAAGACTGGTGGAGTACAACACTAAAACCAATTAAGTTAATTGTTGTTAAAAACATTGTTGAAAGGGATTACAGCGATCATTTTAAGTAAAACTACCTCAATTTTATAAGTTAAAAGAACATTCTTGATCAATTAGCTTTAGTCATTTTAAGTGACACTGATTTAATGTTTATTTGTACGGTGAAAACAAATTACCTAGTAAAACGGACTTAATCAAGAATGTTTTCTAACTTACAAAAATTAGTTTGTATTACTTTAAAAATGTTAAATTATCCATTATCCATTCCTAACATTTTTTGGATTTGAAGTAACTTATTGAATTACAGCGTATAAGTATAAAGTTCCATAAATTGGGAATACTCAAGGAAAGTGAAGTACCTCAAGTTTGTACTTCAGTAAATATACTTAGTTATCCACTACTGGTTCTAGGACGCACTTCATGTGTAGCATTATCCTTCAGCATCTGTTTACAGCAACACTGTTCACCCGCCTCTATATACACCTGTGTTGCAGTACGTGAGCCCACCGAGCACTGGACGTCCTTCTGAAAAAATAAGATATCTCTTACACGTTTAAATTGGCTCATTCGGTGTACTTTGATACTGAAATGGCCTATTTAAAAGGTGCGTAAGATTTAGAGGCATCTAGCAGTTAAGTTGTTAGTTAGATTGTACTACCTGAATACAGCTCGCGTCAGTACTTGACAACCTGGGAAGGAGAACAGGCTGTGAAATGTGTAGGAGGAACCACAGTGGCTGTTCCGGGGAAAATTACCCCCAATGTTGCATCGGTGCGGTATTGGCCCCACACATTCTTACTATGGTATTTCCAGTAAACTGAGAGGATTTTCAGATTTATGAAATCGGATCTATGTTTTTCAAATGAATCAATAGGTAAACCTGTGTACACTGGGGTTTAAGCTATGACACACCTTTTATACATTATATATTTTATCAACTAAATCAAAAACTCCAACAGTCAGAAACTTATTGGATTTATGTTTATTTATTGTACAGTATACATAGTGTTTGAATCACATTAACATTTATAAACGCTACTCATAAATGGTTTAATAACTGACTATAGTGTAGTTGTAAAGGGCATTTTTAGAATTTGTCAATGTTTTTGTTAACGACTGTAACTGCATGCATAAACAGTCACACAGTATAATGTATATATGTGTTATACACAGTTGTAGTTTTAAACACATATATAAATAAACCTGCTATGTAAACATTTCAGCAAAATTAATTGTTATAAACCAAGAAACATAACTTATTCAGTGGAAGCTATTTTTAAGCCTGCATCTTTACGATACTCATATTTAAGAACAAACTGTGGTAGTAGTAGAATGCTTATTTGTCCACCTAGTGCAAGTATACATTGCTTTTTCTTTTCTTTTTTCTTTTTTTAAATAAAGGCAAATAATCCATGTATCACACAAGACAATGATGACTTGATAACCTTACCAAAAAAAACACAAAAAAGGAGGGGAAAAAAAAGGGAAAAAAGCAACGGCGTACATCAAAGAAACAACAAATACATTACTTTCCAGCAGTGAACTTTGACATTATTTATACAACAAAGTCAGTTTGTTTTTCTACTGAGCAGAAATGTCTTCTGTATATTTAGAACCAGGAACTGTTCCAAGAAGCAGGTTTACTGAGTTGCCTGGATAACTTTACTGAAAAAGGCTGGGGATGACTCAGCTGGGTTAACCTGCAGTTTCAACAGTGTATACTGCTTCCTTTTGCTGAGCATGAATGTGCATCACAACACAATGCATTACAGTGGTAACATACACTGATTGAACTCTCGTCATTTGAGCCATCCCAACTACTCCGAGCGGGCAGTAACTCCAGATCTCATAGATCTCGTCTATGAAGCATTCATAGTTGTTAACAAAGACACTGACAAACACTTAAAAAGGACTAGTGTGTAGTGTAGTGTAGTGACATCTAGCGGTGTATGTTCAGATTGCAACTTCAGATTGCAACTCCCTCGCTTCTCCCTCCCCTTCCAAGCACGAAGGAGAAACTACGGTGGCTGCAAAACTCACAAAAAAATGCAAACGCCTCTAGAGCAGTAACAAAAGGTAAACACAATTCTTATATTCAGGTGATTATACACTCATGAAAACATACCTATGAATATTATATTTCATTTATGACAGTAGAACCGCCTCAGTGTTACACACTGGACCTTTAAAAATGTCCTTATGTGTTTATATAGTGCTTATAAATGCTAACTGGAACGAATGTGTTTGCACATAATCCCATTAGTACAGCTGTCACCTGTACCTGAACATGAAGTGGCTTTACTGTCAGGACGTGATTTGGGTGTAACACTTCACACAACAGTGTCCTCGCTTGGGAGACTTTCTTCCTCTTCCTCTTAAATCTGGTGGAGACAGTTGACCGCAGTTTATTAAAAGGGAAACACGTGATGGGGAACCTGAACATTTTGCCACGATATCAGCGAACCACGCAAATATAAAATCATTTCTGGCAAACCCTCATTCTTTGAGGAAGCACAGTGAAGGTTGGGAGAGACTGAAAGCTGTGTGATAAAACAATGTTGGAGGAATTGAGATTTGTCTTTGTGGACACTGTTCTCCTGTCCCTCATAGCCCTCATGACTTATATTTTACACATCTTGTCTTATTTTCTCTTCCGAGGATCAAACGTCTCTTTCAAACAGCCAGACACTGGCTATTTAATCTGCTACTTGGAGAGGCATCCTGTTGCCTCCGGCGGAGTTCACACTGTAGAGTTTTATGGAATACTTTGCTTCACAGACTTCAGACACGTATTGTCCTAATGAACTGATGGAAGCCTGTCGGGGGCAGAGGGAACATAGCAACACAACACCGCTGCTGAAAAGAGGGCAAAAGAGGAGACAGTAACAAAAAAAAGAGAAAGCAGGGGGCCTCACACACACATGCCTTTAGAAGCAGACTTTTAAAGAAGCATAGTGAAATTGTGGACTGAATATTGTTCCTTACCTCCCAAAAT